CCCCCCTCCAGTCCCGCCCCCCCAATCAATACGATCCCCTGTGGGGAAGGGACCATGTGTGAGGAGGGTGGGAATGCGCGAGATATTGTTATGCGGCCTAAGCATGCTTCAGTTTCCCTCTGGGCTCTGCCTTGCCGTGCCCTGAGCGTCCCGGGGGGAGCAGAGGCGCCAGAAGAGACAAGGGGCAGTGAACCCCACCAAGCCACCTGCCGCCAAGAGATTCCCCCATCCCCCACTGCTCTGCAGGGAAACGAGGAAAGGCCCCGAGCCGGAGGACCAAAAGGCCAGGTGGCTGGGTAAAGAGGGGAGCTCTCCGGGGATGTCTACACGGCACGAGCGCTGACTCCGGTTTGAGACCTAGCCCCCCCGCTTCCATCCACACACAAATCTGGGGCAGCGAGCACTCCGGGCCCGGATCCTGGGGGGGGGGGGGTGTCTCAGGAGCCTGCTGCGATCTGGATCGGACCCCAGTGGGTCCCGGCAGAGGGGTCTGGCTCGGTGGGACGCACAGGGTCGAGCATGCGGAGGGCTGGGGACAGGAGACTCGGCCGTGGAGGCGGTGAGGCTGCCTGGGCCGACCCTGAAGGAAGAATGGGACCGACCCAGCCTGGTTCCTCCAAGGGGCAGTTTAAAAGCCGGGCTGTAGTGCCGAGCCCGTGGATCCGGGACACCCCGTCAGCTGGGGGGTCGTTACCGGCGACAAGGACTTGCCCGACGGGTACGTGTCTGGCCAGTGATCAAGAGAACAGAGGTCGCTGGGTGGAGCCACGGACCCCGGGGTGGCCGTGCCCAGGAAGGGGCAGGTCGGGACGCTGTTGGTGGTAGAGGTGGGATACAGACCTGCAGCGGAAACCAGCCCAAGCAAAGTTTCCGCGCAAGGTATCTGGGGGCGGGGATGTCTTTGGGTCCTCGTCCAATGCGTACCCCCGTCACCGATTCACAGAGTCTGTGCCACGCCCCGGCCTTTACCCAGTGTCCCAGGAGCAACTCCGAGAGCGTGCCGGACCCCTCAAGCACCTCATGTCTTCACCCGCCAGCTGGGGGCTGTCGCTTGGCCAATGCGGGGCGGGCGAAGGAGTCAAGGTTCGGTCCTCGAAGCTCTCGCTGGAGCTTCTCCGCGACTTGGCCCCGGGTCTCCCCGGGAGGGAATCCGATGAGCATGTCTCTCCCCACGGGTCGCATGTCCGTGACGCACACAGGGCCGCCAAACAACGCGTACCCTGGAGCAACCCCCGGCGATCACCGCATCTTCCCTTTCCCCCCACGCCCCACATGCTGGCAGCACCCGAGGGAGGGGGGCAGAGAGACCGGGTCGGGGTGGGGATGTGCGCAGGGATAGAGGGCCAGGCAGACAAAGAGGTGGGAACATAGCATGCGGGGAGGGACAGACAGATGGGGGACGCAGCACGGAGGGGCAGACAGATGGGGGGGACGTGGCTCGGAGGGACGGGCAGATGGGGGGACATGGGACAGATGGAGGGACAAGGCGCAGAGGGACGGGCAGATGCGGGGGATGTGGGACAGACGGAGGGGCAAGGCGTGGAGGGACAGACATGGGGAGACGCGGGACAGAGGCACACACAGACGGGGGGACAAGGCACGGAGGGACGGGCAGATGGGGGGGACATGGGACAGACGGAGGGACGCGCCTCGGAGGGACAGATGGGGAGACGCGGGATGGAGGGATGCGCCTCGGAGGGACAGACAGACGGGGGATGCGGGAAGACGGAGGGACAAGGCGCAGAGGGACAGACAGACGGGGAGACGTGGGACAGAGGGACAGACGGGGGACAAGGCGCGGAGGGGCAGACAGACGGGGAGATGCGGGACAGAGGCGCACACAGATGGGGGGACAAGGCGCGGAGGGACAGGCAGATGGGGGGACATGGGACAGACGGAGGGACAAGGCGCAGAGGGACGGGGAGATGCAGGACAGACGGGGGGGAACGTGGCTCGGAGGGACAGACAGACGGGGAGATGCGGAACAGAGGGACAGACGGGGGGGATGCAGGACAGATGGGGAGATGTGGGACAGGCGCACACAGATGGGGAGACGTGGCTCGGAGGGACGGACAGACGGGGGACGTAGAACAGACAGGGGGGACATGGCTTGGAGGGACGGACAGACGGGGGGATGCGGAACAGAGGGACAGACAGGGGGGGGGGGGGGCAGGGGGGGGGGATGCAGGACAGAGGCGCACACAGACGGCGGGACAAAGTGCGGAGGGACACGTGGCCGGGTGTGTGCAGGGACGGCCGGTTGGACAGACGGGGGGACCCAGCGGCCTGGACAGACAGACAGACAGAAAGCCCTGGGATGGGCGGGAGCCGGGTGGGACAGGAGGACAGACATGCTGAAGCTGAGGCCTGGCGGGGGGAGTGGGGGGGTGTTGTTCCGGCTCAGGGTCCCCTCCCCCCGTGCTGCTCCACTCACCATGAGCCCCCCGCCGGCCAGGCCGCCCATCAGCCAGACCTGCAGGGTGAGGTGCTCGGTCCAGCCCGTCTCCCCGTTGGGGAACATCAGCAGGATGTTGGCCACGATGCAGCCCAGCGCCATGGGCACCAGCGCCAGCCCCACAAGCCGTGAGCAGCGCCCCGTGCACATGGCTCGGGGAGGGGCGGGATGTTGCTGCCCGGAGCTGGGGGGAGATCAGGGCAGCCGCTGCCCGGAGCCGGAGGATTTGGGGTGCCTGATGCCCGGAGCCAGAGGATTTGGGGTGCCTGATGCCTAGAGCTGGAGGATTAGGGGCGCCTGATGCCCAGAGCTGGAGGATTTGCGGGGGCAGCTTCCCGGAGCTGGAGGATTAGGGGTGCCTGATGCCC